CAGGAAAGCATGATGAAATAAGAATTCAAAAAACTGAGGAAAAGCTTAAGAGCATCCAGGACACCTTTAAACGTTCCAACATCCGAATTATAGGGGTACCAGAATGGGAAAGGCAAAAGCAACAAATTGAGCACGTATTTGAAGAAATAATAAAGGAGAACTTCCCTATTCTGGCAAAGGGAACAGTCTTCCAAGAAATCCAAGAAGCTCAGAGAGCTCCAAAGAAGTTGGACCCAAGAAGAAACACACCAAGGCACATCATACTTACATTAGCCAAGGTAAAAATGAAGGAGAGAATCCTAGAAGCAGCAAGAGATAAGGGGACAGTAACCTACAAAGGAGTTCCCATCAGACTGTCAGCTGATTTCTCCAAAGAGACCTTACAGGCAAGAAGGGGCTGGAAAGAAATATTCCAAGCCATGAAAGACAAGGACCTACATCCCAGATTGCTCTATCCAGCAAAGCTCTCATTTAGAATGGAAGGGAAGATAAAGTGCTTTTCAGATAAGGTCAAGTTAAAGGAGTTCATCATCACCAAGCCCTTATTTTATGAAATGCTAAAGGGACTTATCTAAGAAAAGAAGATAAAGGAAAGACATGTATAGTAAAAGGACAGCAAACTCACAATTATTAACAACCACACCTAAAGCAAAACCAAAAGAAACTAAGTAAACAACTAGAACAGGAACAGAACCACAGAAATAGAGGGCACATGGAGGGCTAGCAGCAGGGGGGTGGGAGGAGGAGAGAGGCAGAAAAGGTATAGAGAATAAGTAGCATAGAATGTAGGTTGAAAATAGATAGGGGGAGGGCAAGAATAGTACGGGAAATGTAGAAGCTAAAGAACTCAAGTATGACACATGGACATGAACTAAAGGGGTGGGAGAGGGGGTACAGGGTAGAGGGGAGAGAAGGGGGAAAGTGGGACAACTGTAATAGCATAATTGATAAAATATATTTAAAAAGTTCTTAAAAATAAAAATAAAGGCTTCTAAAAAAGAAAAATGTTTGATAATATTCTCTGCTGGGGGGCGGTAAGAGGACACAGGCATTCTCATACTTTGTTGGTGTGAATGCTTTTTTGGAGAACAATTTGGCAAAAGGCATGAACAGTTAAAAAAAAATGTATAGCCCTGGCCAGGTAGCTCAGTTGGTTAGAGCATCATACCGACATGCCAAAGTTGTGGGTTTGATCCCTGGTCAGGGCACATACAAGAATCAACCAATGAATGTAGAAATAAGTGGAACAACAAATCAATGTTTCTCTCCCTCCTTCCCTTCCTCTCTCTCTAAAATCAATCAACAAAAAATTTTTAAAAAACTGCATGAACTCTTTTCCCCAGCAATTTCTCTACTAGAAATTAACCCTATGGATATATTTACAAAAGTATGCCAAAGGTAAATGCATAAATATGTTCGCTGTTGCATAGTATGTAATTGGAAAACACCAGAAAGTTGGCACCTTAAATGTCTATCCACTGGGAACTGGGTAAATTACCTATGACACATTCATACAAGTGAACACTGCAGCAGTTAAAAAGAACAATTAAAAATTTTAAGTACTGATACGGGCCAACCTTGACAAAAAGTTGCAGAATAGCAAACATAGTCTGATGCTTTTTGTATCCACACACACATCCTTATATATATGTATGTGTATGTATAAAATATAAACTGACATATGCTGGACTTTGGTCTAGAAAGATTTACATTTAACCAAAGCAGTTAACCTTTGAGATAAAAACAGGGTGGAAACCGAGAAGAGCTTTCTTTGACCTGCCTTGGATCAGGTGTTCTTTCCTGGGCCCATCAGCTCCAGCCAGAGGTGGGGAGTCTCCAAGTAACTAAGAGACCCTCTGGAGTTACGTGGTTGGAGAACAGTTTTTAGTAGAAGGAAGGGTACTGGGAAGATAAAGCACTTATTTAAAAAAATTAAATTTTTTGCCCTGGCTAGTGTGGCTCAGTGGGCTGAGTGCAGGCCTGTGAACCAAAGTGTTGCTGGTTCGATTCCCAGTCAGGGCACATGCCTGGTTTGCAGGCCAGGTCCCTGTTGGGGGTTGCTTGAGAGGCAACCACACATTGATGTTTCTGTCCCTCTCTTTCTCCTTCCCTTCCCTTCTCTCTAAAAATAAATAAACAAAATCTTTTTAAAAAGTTAAGTTTATTGAGGTAACATTGGTTAATAGGATTATATAGGCTTCAAGTTTATATTTCTATGACACATCATCTGTATATTGCATTGTGTGCCTACCACCCAAAGTCAAATCATCTTTTGTCACCGTATATTTAAAGGCACTCATTCTTTCACTTATTCCTTTGTTCAGCGAATCTTTCTTGTGTGCCTATTACTCACTAGGCTGTGTACTACATTCCTCAAACACAGTGAACCACCAAACTCAGTGATCAGAAAACTTAAGTTCCAGTGAGGAAAACAGTCAAGAAATCAGTGTCTGCTACCCCTCCTACCCCAGGGAAAAAGGGTTCTTTTTGTTGTATGCAGAGGGGGCCCTCATCAGAGCAGTCTGGGGATATTTCCACTGCGAGGACACTGATGACTAAGAAAGAGAAGCTTGGCAGGCCTGGCCAATGGGAGCAGCTGCAGCTGTTCTGAGTTACCAGCCAAGAGCCAGTAGGTGAAGGGAGTGGTTTCCTGTTGAGCTAAGATTTTTGGGTCTAGCTTCGCAGTCAAGGCATTCCCAGAAACAAAATCATCAGGCAGCCTACTAAGGTTCTGTGGAATTTTTATTACAAAAATGCAAAATCCATGCCCTGGCTGGTGTGGCTCAGTGGATTGAGCACTGGCCAGTGAACTGAAGGGTCTTGGGTTCAATCCCAGTCAGGGTAAATGCCTTGGGTTGCAGGCTAGTCTCCAGTTGGGGCTGTGTGAGAGGTGGCTGATCATGTGTCTCTCACAGACTGATGTTTCTCCCCTTCTCTTTCTCCCTCCCTTCTCCTCTCTCTAAAAGTAAATAAGTAAAATCTTTAAAAATAAAACCAAAAAAACCCTCCAGGCCTGATGAGTTAGGTGCCTGACTCCACCAACTTGCAAGAAAGTCTCAGTCCCTCAGGCAATTGTGATCCTGAGCAAACAGGGATAGGTGTGGGGTGTGGGGTGGCTTAGTTCTCTCCCAGCACAAGTGGGAAGGATTATAGTGAGAGTGGGGTAGGGGAGAGGGAAGAGGTGAGTGCCCCTCCTAGTGACTCCCTAGGGGAAGGTTTCTGATGTGCTAATTTTGCAAGAGATGCTGGTGAGATTCACCGGTCTGAGCAGGGACCCTACAGCAAAGCGCTCTGGGTCTAATGTGATACATGCTGGCCTAACCACCTTTTCAAGCAGCAACACATGGGCCTGGGCAGTGAAGGATGAGGATTTTTACTCATTCTCTCCCCACCCAAGACTACTCTTCCACAATCAAGATGTTGGTCCAGATGTGGCTTTAGCTCATTACTGTATCTGATATGATGTAGTTGGTGAGAGAGAGAGAGAGAGAGAGAGAGAGAGGGAGGGAGGGAGAGGGATTATTTATTCATGATGTAGTGATGGTGATTAAATTGAGGATTTAGCCCATACATTGGAGAATGGAGTAAAACTAAGGACATTTTGGACAATGAGGTTGAAAGCTTTTTCAAAGGGCCCCTGCCACAATCATTTGTGGAAGCAAGACATCATGTTTCAATCTTGCGGGGGAGGACATAATGAATTTTTAGTAGTTGCAGCGAGAACGGGATCCCGACAGGGTGTTTTGGGAACTAAATGTGTAAGCAGCCCTGACTGGTTTGGCTCATTTGGTTGGGCATGTCCCGAAAAGCAAAAGGTCGCCAGTTTGATTCCCAGTCTGGACACATGTGATCCCTGGTTCACATGTGCATGCATGTGCATGTGGTGGGGCATGTGTGTGTGGTGGGGGGGTGGTCAGTGCTTCTCTCTCACATCGATGTTTCTCTCTCTCCTTTCCTCTCTCTCTAAAAGCAGTAAGAAACACTGAAAAGATCACACAGACACAACAGCATGGTGGTAACCAGATGGAAGTGAGTGGAGGGATAGTAAAGTGTAAAGGGGGCCAATTATATGGTGACAGAAGGTGACTTGACTTTGGGTGGTGGGCACACAATGCAATATATAGATTATGTATCATAGAAATATGTATCACTTGAAACCTATATGACCCTATGAACCAATGTCACCCCAATAAGTTTAATTGAAAAAGAAAAAAAAGGTGTGTGTGTTTGGGGTAGGGAAGGCAGTACTATCATATGTGGCCACAAGATGGCAGCAGAGAGATATCGGTCACAAATGTAGTCACAGAGGCTAGGAGAAATTGGCGAGTCTGGCAGGTGCCCACCCAGAGAGGTTGGGAGTAGGCAGACACCGGAGTGGGCTGTAGGAGGAGGTGGGCCCTGTATTTCAGCATGGTTATGTTTGCCAGTTGGAGTCTGTCACTGTAGACTAATCCCCTGTGACCTCTTCAATACCAGGTCTTTATAGACACTTTGCCAAACTCTGCCAGCAGAAACTGCATCTGTGTGACCTTGCCTGGGCTGGGGGTGGGTAATGCATGTTCCACAAAGGTGAGTATGGGAGGCAGGGGATGTCACCTGCACAGGGCAGCTTATTTAAAGGACACCGGTGCATGTCGAAAGCAGGGCCTCCCATTCCCCTGCTGCCAGGCTTGTGGTTCCAGGTGCTCTTAAAGGACCTGTTCACCTGGGTCCAGCCTGCTCCAGTCATGAGAAGATCCAATTTGTGGCTGGGAGAGGTCACCAAAGACAAGGCAAAGGATGTTGAGGTGGGGTGGGGCAGGGAACACAGGGTGAGGCAGCTGTCTCTGAAAGCACACAAGATGTTCCTGGCTGCAGTAGGGGTGGTAAGAGGATTAGGTGACAGTCCCCTAACCCAGCCCGGAACTAACGCCCTCCTCCCCCTCACACGCTCTGGCCTGCCCAGCTCCAGGCCTGCCCAGCTCCAAGCCTGCCAAAGCTCAGAATAACCCTGAGGACCAGACAGCGGGATGGCCGTGGCTCTGCTCAGCGCCTTATTCCTCTTGCAGCTTCTCGGTATGAACGGGGGTCAGGGGAGGTGGTTGGATACACACACGGAGATACTAACCTGAAGAAGCAAGACAGAAACCAAGATGTAGACTGGGGTGCAACATTTGGTCCCCAGACACAATATCGTTGGTTAAGAAGACACACGTGGAAAAAATACACAGTCTTCGAGGCAGACACAAAGAGACAGAGCCCTGTGCAGACCCAGAGGGGATAGAAGGGAGAGACCACCTAGCCTCTTCATCTCTAGTGACTCCACTGTTTGACACCCCAGGCAGAGGTGAGGGGAAGAATGAGGAGTTGCGCCTTTATCACCATCTTTTTGACAACTATGATCCAGGACGCAGGCCAGTGAGACAGTCTGAGGACACTGTCACCATCACATTCAAGGTCACCCTGACCAACCTCATCTCACTGGTAAGATACCTTACTTGCACTCCAAGCCCGTCTCTAAGCTTAACATTTCCACTTCCGGCCCCAACCGCGGAGCTCTGTCCTAAAGCTCACTTCTGGCCCTGGAATCCACTTCAATCATCCTAATCTCCTGTGCGCAGAACGAGAAAGAAGAGACCCTGACCACCAGCGTCTGGATTGGAATCGTGAGTCAAATCTGGGGGACAGTGTGCGGTCTTGCCCAGGGGACCCTTTTCACCCAAACTCCTACCCGGCACCAGGTGGGAGTTGCAGGGCACACGTCCTTCTGTCTCCACCCCTTAGGACTGGCATGATTACCGACTCAACTACAGCAAGAAAGACTTTGGGGGCGTAAACCCCTTGCGGGTCCCTGCAAAACTCGTATGGTTACCAGAGATTGTGCTGGAAAACAAGTGAGGACGGAGTGGAAGCCAGGCTGGAAGGACGCTGAGCGGGCTGGGTTGGACCTGGTTGGGGCGGTGTGGGGCGGGGGTAGAGGGGCGGGGAGGCTGGCTGCTTGGAGGGCCAGGGTGCGCGGACCTCGCAAACGCCGGGTTTCTGGGAACGCACAGTATTGACGGCCAGTTCGGCGTGGCCCACGAAGCCAACGTGCTGATCGACGAGGGCGGTTCAGTGAGCTGGTTGCCCCCGGCCATCTACCGCAGCACCTGCGCCGTGGAAGTCACCTACTTCCCCTTCGACTGGCAGAACTGCTCGCTCGTTTTCCGGTGGGCAGTGTCACTCAGAGGCCTCAGACCTTACGGGATTGAGACAGCAGGGGGCGGGCCATAAGGACAATATTAATATGGGGCGGGGCTTTGTGCTGGGGGCGGGCCCAGACTCTAGAAGGGGTTGGGGCTGCTCCAGGGAATTACAAGTAGGGGGTGGGAATACCTAGGTGTGATCTGGGTAATGGGGTGGGGCGTGATTATCCAGACAGATCCCAGCTTCCAGAGCAGGGCCCGAGGCTAAAACTTGGGTTCGAGTTTCTGGAGTGGGGGCTCCGCAGCTCTCAGACGTACAATGCCGAAGAGGTAGAGTTCGTCTTTGCGGCGGATGATGAAGGCGAGACCATCAGCAAGATCGATATCGACACTGAGGCCTATACTGGTGAGGTCCTCTCATGCTCCGAAAACCCACTTCTAGACGGGGTCCAGAGAAATGACTTGCAAAACGGGGCTGGCCCTGACCGTCAATGCTAGGGATTGACTTTGACAACCGCGCTTTAATTTGCCCCTTTCCTGAAATTATTCTCTGTTGCCGGACTAGTTCTGCTTCCTCGCGGTCGTTCCGTACCTCACCGCGTATACCCCTTTCTGCCCGTGCCCCGTCTGCCCTCGTGCCGACGGCCCAAGGCCGGAGCAGTCCAGACCACCTGCCCCACCCATCCTGGTCCAGACAGTTGCCAAACTCTCTCCCGCCAGGAGTTTTGGGCTCCCACCCTCCGGTGCGGAGCCTCAGAGCAGGGCGCCCAACCCTGAGAGCAGGCTGACCGCGCCACCCGTCCTGCAGAGAACGGCGAGTGGGCCATCGACTTCTGCCCCGGGGTGATCCGCCGCAGCTACGCTGGCTCCGCCGACGGTCCAGGGGGCACTGACATCGTCTACACGCTCATTATTCGCCGGAAGCCGCTCTTCTACATCATTAACATCATTGTGCCCTGTGTGCTAATCTCAGGCCTGGTGCTGCTCGCCTACTTCCTGCCGGCGCAGGGTAAGGAGTCGCCCCAACCCCAAAGCCAGGCTCGTTTCGGGGGAGGAGAAGGGCATCTGCTCTTACTGGGCGCTCCCTCCAGCCGGTGGCCAGAAATGCACCGTGTCCATCAACGTCCTACTCGCCCAGACCGTCTTCTTGTTCCTAATCGCCCAGAAAACCCCAGAGACGTCTCTGAGCGTGCCACTGCTGGGCAGGTGAGGGCACAAGGGGTCGGTCGGCGCCCATGCTGGGGCGTGGCTAGGGCGAAGGGCGGAGCCGGCATGGCACGGGGCGGAGCGAGGAAGGGTGCGGTCGGGGTGAGTGAGGCCAAAACCAAATGACTCTGGGAGCAGCTTTGGCTGTCTGGGCCCGGTCTGGACTTTATTTGAACTCCAGGTGGGGCTGGGACTAGGGCGGATTCTCTGGTACTCCGTCCTCCGCACTGCTGCTGGACGCCACTTTGAGGTCTCCCGAGTATCTGTTGAGGGGGAGGGCAGCTCAGTGCCTCCTACCGCACCGCCTCTGGTCCCTAACACCTCCCCATCCTGAACTCTCCGGTTCCCCGGGGATTTTTGAGTCCCAGCTGGCGTCTACATTGCTGCAGAAATGAGGCGGACCCTTGGCAGGCCCCGTCCACGTAGGCACAGCCACGCACCCTGGACCAGGAGCCAGAAGCTCTCGCCCGCAGCGCCTGCTCGCTGAGCCCCCTGCCCTGCCCTGCCTGGCAGGCGTTTGGGGCTGGGCCCTGGCTGCTGTTGTTCTCTAGTCGCCGCACCTCCTGCTGTGACCAAAGGGCTGAGATATTCATTGGGGGTACTGGGGTTAGTTGGGGGCTGCAGAGGTCCCTATCCTCCTCCCCTGTTCCTCCTCAGCCCCTCAGCGCTCCACCTCTAACAAGGTGGCCACGGTTTCTCTTAGCATCAGCCCCAGGGTGGGCTTCGGGGCAGGCGGGTTCTTTGGCTCCCGCAGCTCCAGGGACTTCAGCTCTTTGAACCTCTGCTCCAGATACTCCTGAGCTGCAGCCACTGCGAGTTCCAGGGAAGATAGAAGAGGGGGCTGAAGGGCTACCTGGAGGAGTGGGGGCAGTAGAGCCACCAGCTCACAGGACAGAGGTCACGGTGGGGGTTGCTGGAGACCTTTCCAGAGGGTCTCGAGGTGATGGGCCATGGCATCACCTCACCTCCGTGGAACTGTGCAAGTGGTAGACCCACAGCAGGGTTTCCAGGGAGCTGGGGGTCCACTTCATGGCTGCCACGGGCAGCAGGAGAGAGAAGGGCCAGGGAACGCGCGTACAGCCCCACAGAAGAGAAGCAGCTGAGCTGAGCTGAGCTGAGCTGAGGGAGGCCTCACTCCACCTCCTGTGGAGGAGTGTTTGTGAGGTCAAAGGACCCACAGCTCAAACTGTGACTCTGGGGTCCTGGGGAGGCTGTGATGTCACGCACTCCGGGCTCCCTAGGTACCTCATTTTTGTCATGGTGGTCGCCACGCTCATTGTTATGAATTGCGTCATTGTGCTCAACCTGTCTTTGCGGACACCCACTACTCATGCCATGTCCCCGCGTCTGCGTCATGTAAGCACAGGGCGAGAGGTGGCGGGGTGGGGGGTGGGAGGCAGGAGGCGGGACTTCAAGCTGATTACCGCCCTGGGCCCGCCCCTAGGTCTTGTTGGAGCTGCTGCCGCGACTCTTGGGCTCAGGCGCGCCTCTCGAGGCCCGCCGGGCCTCCTCTCCCCCGAGGCGTGCATCTTCTGTGGGCATATTGCTCCGTGCGGAGGAGCTGATACTAAAAAAGCCGCGGAGCGAGCTCGTCTTTGAAGGGCAGAGGTACCGGCACGGGCCCTGGACTGGTAAGCAGAGTGGCCTGGGTGGGTCAATGGGGTTGCTTGCAGTGGGCTAATAACCGACCCTGAGGCTACTGGCCAACCTTCCCCCAGCGGCCCTCTGCCAGAGCCTGGGTGCCGCCGCCCCCGAGATCCGCTGCTGTGTGGATGCTGTGAACTTCGTGGCCGAGAGCACGCAAGACCAGGAGGCCACCGGAGAGGTGTGGCAGGAGCCAGAGGAGGGTGGGGCACTGCAGAGACCCTGCTAGCTCAGTGCTGCAGGATCCTGCAGCCCGTCTGGACTCAGCTTGCGCCTGGCCCTTCCCCAGGAGGTGTCCGACTGGATGCGCATGGGGAAGGCCCTAGACAACATCTGCTTCTGGGCTGCTCTGGTGCTCTTCAGTGTGGGCTCCAGCATCATCTTCCTCGGGGGCTACTTCAACCAAGTGCCTGAACTGCCTTACCCACCGTGTATGTAGACCTGGGCGGTGGCTGCATGGATTTCAACTTCCTACCCATTTCCACAAAGAAATAGATTTTGAAAAACAAGTTTCTGCCACTGCTATATTCTGACTCTTTTCCACTGCCATTAATAAATCAATGCTTTGTGTGCGCACAAGTGGGTGTGTCTGGCCACTGTGCAGGGATCAGGAGGGCGGATGGCTCGTGGATGCCAATCCTCTGGATAGCAAAGACCATCCTAGCTTCAGCCTGGATGATCTCCCAGTTTCACCAGGCCCCAGCCCCACAGGACCCTGTAGCCCTGTAAGCTTCTAACCTATCTTTGTCTACTGGATAGCCACACAGGAGTGACCCCTTTGCAGGGCAGCACTTAGGGATTCTGGAGCTGGGAAGCCGGGTCTCTTTCTGGAAGAGGATCAAGTGCCCTCAGGGCAGGTCCCCCACAGGCCCCCAGGTTTAAGGCTGAGGAGGCCCTGACCCTCCCCCCTCAGCCATTTCTTCTAGATTTTCTTGGCTCAGCACTGCCCACCTGCCTCCCCCTAAGACTCATTGTAGATTCTACCCCACCCTGCCCCTTTCACTCAGCTCTGCTTGCTTACCCTGGCTAGCATCTGGACTGTGACAGAAAACAATAAAATGGGGCCTGGAATGTTAGGAGCTGGTTGAATTGTCTTTATTAACAAACGGGATGTCCAAGGCCACTACAATGGGGGGGGCAGGGAGGGAACAGGGCTACTTGCTGCTCACATTATATACAGATGCAAGCAAGTGGGCATGGAGGGTGAGAGCTCCCTGCCCCCTCCCTCCACCAGGGAAGGGCAGAGGCTAGAAGAGATGGAGGTTGTAAAGGGGGAGATGTTTTGGCTGGCGGGGTCCCCCTTCCATTCCCTGGGATTTGGAGGGAGGGGAATCATTAAAGTGCTTTCAGAAAATGAGGAAATGGTCCCTGCCCCTGGAGTGGCTGGTGACCCCCCCAAAACCTAGGGCCCAGTGACACCCCCCCAGGGTCTGGTACATTCAAGGGGGGAGCCGGCTCCCCTGACGTGCAAATAAAGGGGCCCAGGGCCCTGCCCAGTCAGCAGCAGTGGGGTATGGGGCCCAAGCCCCAAGCACTCTCCTCATTAGTGGAGAAAAGGGGGGATGGGGCTAGGCCCACTCAGTTCCTGGTAAGGGGAAGCTGTGCCTCTCCCCAGAAGATGGGACAGGCACAGTTTTGGGGAGAGAACATGTTGGGGAAGAGGGTGGTCACGTGATCACAAAAGCATCAGGGGTCGGAGGTCACGTTCCCAGCAGGCTCCAGTGAATCAAATCAGTAAAAGCAAAAGCCCAAGGAGGGGAAAGCAGGGCGGCCTGGGAAGTCTGGCTGTGGGGAGAGAGCTGGGCTCATGTGGGAGAGCCCCAGCCCAGGGTCTGTCACCAGTTCATGATGCAGTTGCGGTTCAGGGTCATAAAGTAAACTTGGCTGCTGCCCCCGGAGCGGACTGACGCAAAGAATACCTAGGTGGGGAAAAAGAAGAAGTCACCAAGGAAGGGGGGCTCAATTAATTGGGAGAGGGAGAGAGAAACTGCACAGTTTCATTTCTCAGAGTTACCGCCATCCCCCTAAAGGGCAGAAATGCTTGGGGGCAGAGGGCAGCTGCTAGACCTCTGGGATGGAAGGGTCAGAGTTCCTAGAAACTGAAAGGGGGGAGGAGAGCAGGACATAACTGAGTGTTATGTTCCCCAGGGACCCCCTATTAGAAAGGCTCCGCAACTGTCACCTCCTTGGTGGGGACCGAGGGCTTTGGAAGCCAACCCCACTCAGGGCCCTGGTACTTTTCCAGGGGCCAGAGCTCCCACCTTGTCATTCCGCTCACACAGGAACTTGAGCCTCTGAGCTCGTTTGTGCATGAAGACCCCGTCCAGGTGGCCTGTCTCCACGGAGCGGATCTCAATGGCTTTCTCGCCCCAGCCCATTATCTGGTTGGAGCAGATGTAGGCTGCAAGAGAAGGGAGGCGAGGGGCAGTGAGTGGGCTGCAGCCCAGGCCCACTCCCAGGCCAGTGGCTGGGCACCGGCACCACACTCACCCACAGAGGTGGGCATCTCTCCCCACTGCAGCACCACATCCTTAATGATCCGCCCGTATGTGTTGACGTAAACGCCCTCGTCCTCGTAGCACAGCAGCATCTCCATGCCGTCGGTGTTGGGGAGGAAGATGATGGCGTGGGGAGTGATCTGGCTCTGGATCTGGGGAGGAGAAAGTGGGCTGCACTCCCCAAGTCTGGAACGCAGACGGGCGGTCCCCCTCTGCCCACGGCCCTGCCACGCTTACATGCACAGGGATGTAGATGTCGTAGCTGTTCCCCGAGTCGACATCTACTGCGTGGAAGCCGGCGCTGGAGCCGTAGATGACCTTGAGCCGCTGTCCCTCCTCTACTGTCAGGTCTACCAGCAGAGGGCGGTGAGGCAGGTCAGCAAAGGACTGTGGAGGAGAGAAGGGGTCAGGGGACACAGGTGGGGGAGTCAGACCTCGGAACAGGGTTGGGGGGCTGAGGCTGGAATTACCTTGAAGGCCATGAATTTGTGGTAGGGTTTGGGGGCCCAGGCATACACCTCTACGGAATTCTTCAGGGCGATGACCAGGAACTTAATGCGTTCGTATTTCACTGGGGGCAGGAAAGAAGAGGGACACTGGGACCTCCCTCCTTGGGCTGCCAGCCCCCTCCCACAGGCCCCTCATCACACCCCCAATGTCAGGCCCCAAGTCTCTGGCTTCCGGACCCCTGAGCCCAAGCTCCCATTTCTCTCTCTTCATGAACAAATGTGCCCTAGCCACTCTGTTGTGCCCTCCTCACCAACACGGTAATGCCCGCAGCCCTCCATGTCCCCCACGGTGGTCCAGCCCTGCTTCTTCTCAACTTCTGGGTCATTGTGCAGAATCTTGTTCCGAAGCCAGGACAGGTAATATACCCGCAGTTTGTTCCTTTTCCCTGAGGGATGAGGATACACACACAGCCCCACTTCCTTACTGAAGGTCAAGGTTCTGCTCCCCTCCATCTTTTTCTGCTTCTGCATACCACAAGGGCTGAAAAAAGTGGCCCCACCTTCTCGCTCCTGGACCAAGGTTGCCCTCTGCCCAGACTGAAGATGGTGCCAGAGAGCCAAGGAGCAGAGCCCCTCTTCCCAGCCCCACCCCCCGCCCCTGTACGCCACCCACACACCTGAGATGGTGATGAGCAAGTTGAGTCCTTCCAGCACATCCATTTGCTGGAAGCGCCGCCGCCCGATAAGTCCATACACCTTGCCCTGCCCGCTTCGGTCCAGCAACATCAGCCCGTTCTCCGTGCCCACCAGCAGGTTGACACCTGCAACAAGAGCCCTTGGGCAGGTCAGGGCAGAGCCAGGCCCTCACCAGACCAGGAGCGCAGGGACCCACCCGACTCCTCTCCTGCCCAGCCCTGGCTTACCCCACAGGGCTGCACAGAGGATCTCGGAATTGAATCGCTTCTTGTACTTTCGAATCTCGGGGGTTTCACTGTGGGCCCGTGTGTTGGTGGGGTTCACGTTGACCACAGAGCCTTTCCGCACGTCATACTGATCAAGCCGACTGGCCTCTCCACCCACTAGGGCTGCAGAGGAGAGAGGCGCGGTGTGGTGGGCTGCTGCTCCCTGGCCCTGTCTCTCCTGACCCCGCCCTTACCCTTGGTCTCGGCCCCTCGGAGTGCTCTGGACCGAGAATGGAAGAGGTGCCCGGAGGAGCCGAAACAGAGCCAAGAGGCCCGGCAATGTCCTTGTTCTACCACATAGGTCCCTGTGCGGCTCTGAGCATTCTCCCTCTTGGGTTAAAGTGGCCTCAGAAGCTTTTGTTGCCCCTGTGCCAGGGCAGGTGCTCAGGTCAAAGGGCAGGATGACAGCTTTGTGAAGCCACCTCACCGGAGCATTACCTTTACCCCTCCCTCTTCAGGCCTCGTGGCAGGCCTGTCCTTTCCTCCTCACCTGTGATGGGTATGGTGTCCCCGCTGCCTCCAGGCTGGTAGATGCCTAGGTCCACAAACATCGTGAAGGAGCTCTTGCCAGGGGCCTTCACCAGCCCACGAGACTGGTACTGTGGGGGTGGGGGCAGCAGTCAGGCAGACACATGAGGCCCAGCCAGCAGCCCACTCCCAGCCATGGTTCCTGGGCCCCAGGTCCTCCAGGCGAATCCTGGCCAACTGGCTCCTGGGTGCTCTGCCCACCCAGTGCAGTACTGCTGGGCACCCCGATCTCCTGCCCACTGCCAACACCCTCCCCTCGCCCCGTGGGCCCACCTGCACCCACTTACATCACTGCCTCCATCCTTCAGGGGGGGGCTTTGACCTTTGCTGCTCTCAGTGGGTGAGTGGCTGGGCTGGACCACATCTGGCAGGTTTGTGTAGCCATTGCTGTCTGCGTGCAGCAGGCTGCGCTCCTCTTCCGGAGTCTAAAGACACAGAGTGAAGGAAGCCAGTACTGGGGCCAAGGAGGGTCACGGCAAGTGCTGGAAAGAATGGAGTGCCTACTCACACGCTGGACCACCATGGTACCACCCCCATAGGGGGTCTGGGTCCCAGCTATCTCCTCCACGTCATGGACCACCATGGTGCTGACGCTGTCTGTGTCCCCATCGCTGCTGTGGGAGAGAGAAAGATCATGAAGCCCCTCAGGTCCTGCCTGCCACCCAAGTGCCACAGGAGCAGATGAGAGCAGGAGGCTTAGTGCTTTCAGTGTCAGTCTCTATTCAATACACGACGCACTCAGCCTCACTGAGCAGCCTTATGCCTCGCTGTTGGGTGTCCTGTGCCCAGCACTTGTGGAAGGCTGGTGGCAGAGAAGTGCCGGAAGAGATAGGACCCACCCCCTAGTGACAGGACATCAGGAGAGGGGTGGGAACCCAGCCCCACACCACACACTCTAGAGAAAAGGGAGGAGAACTGACAGTCAGGGGTCCCCGCTCTGAGGGAAGGAGAATCACCTTCCCTCAGACTTGCCCCAGAGGCCCCTCCTCCCAACCTGCAACCCTTCTGTTGGGGTGCCTCCAATGTGGGAGTGCCCCCATACCGGGCCCCAGGGGTGTCTCTGCTGCCCTCTGATGGTTCGCCATTGCTTTCCTCGTCATCATCCTCACTGCTCTCCACCTCCTCGCTGGATGATGAGTAGTCCATGGCCTTCTTGGGAGGCCGAGGGGCCTCATCCAGGGTCCGCTCCTTCAGCAACACGAAATCCTGCAGGAGAGAGGCTGCGTGAGGAGGGGACGGGAGAGGGCAGGGGCACAAAGGATGCCAGAGGAGAAGGGGCAGGATCACAGGAGGGGCTCCCGCAAGCAGGTCCCTTCTCACTAACCTCACCAATGGCTCGCTTATAGCTCTGGGAGGGGCCACAGGGAAAGAAGGGCAGCCAGGAAGAGGCAGGAGAGAGGTTAACAAAGGTTAGTAACTGAGAAGTACATCTGGAATCCCGCAGCCCCTCCTCTCACACAGAGTAACGAAGCCCCCGCCCCTGGCACCCAGGCTTGAGACTCCAGAGCTGGCCCCGAAGTCCTGGACCAGAGAAGGCGGGGCCACAGCTGCCACCTGCTGACTTACTGCGGGCCGGCCTGGCCGTGAGCGGTGGTCATCAGGCTTGGCTTTGTTTCCAGGGGACAGCACCGGGGAGCTG